AGGTCCACTACTGTCGACCCAGAGTTACGCTGTTGTTTCGTTGCCGTGAAATGTTGGTGGTATCAATGGACGGGCAGGTTAGAGACATCGGGGTTAACTGAGGTATTTCCTAACCTTCCAAGGGCAGCACGGGATGGGAAAAAGGGGTGGTCTCCAGGTAGCACATGGCAGCTGTGAAATGTTTGAAGAGGTAAATCATCTATCATCAGCTATCAATGAATATAGATGGTGAAAGCTCTACCCTGAATGACTCCTCTACACTTTTGAGTTTGTCCCTTAGTTCTTGCGATGTTTGGCTGGTTCGGTTGGTTGGAATGTGGGGTTATGACAGTCTGTCTCAAAGTAGTCTCAAATTAACCTCAGTACATATGTCCGAGACAAGAGCTTGTATCCTGCTGAATCGGGGAGGGAGTCCCTGGAGGCTTTCCCAAATGGACATCAGAATTTGTTTGGACATATCGGACATATTTAGATCTTTAGAGCATAACAGTGGTCATCCTGAATCTGCTGAAAAAGGTGATCATGTGGTAACCCAAGAATGAACAGTCCCAGAAACGAGTTTTGCGTTTGCTTTTTGCATCATTCCAAACAGAAGGATACAATAATTCAATAGTATCGAATTCCAACAATGAAATATCATAATAAACCCCAATTAGGGAGATTTCATAACGTCATTATTCCTTATTGTCTTTTACCTCATGGAAAAAGAATCGCTGGTCCATTGAAAAGACTGTGCTGCCAGGCACGCAGAATGACTGCCAGTCACTTGGCCATTGTGGCCGTTGTGGCCATTGTGTGGCCCATGGCGCCGATGCGTCCGGTGGTTACTCATCACGGCATGGGTCAAAATGTCAAGCCCGAGAATCCAGAGCTATGAGATATTGAGCCATTTGAGCCATTGTTTGTATGATTTCTTATTTTTGTTTGTATGATTATGAACCGGCTTCTTTTTTGGTAGTCAGCCCATTTTGACCTATTAAGTATCCAATTAGTGGCTAGCCGAGTGAAGGAAGGTATCGACTCAAAGTACAAGTCGTTTCAAATAGCACTGAAGGTGGCTTTTAAGAATTGACCTGTGATTTCATGTCAAAAACAAAACTTGAAACCAAACAAAACATGTATTGTATATTTCTATGATTCTATATGATCCCAAAAGAGGGCCTCCTTTCTTAAATATATATCCATGGTACCACTTCTCCGATTTTTCCGGACCAGACATTCTTGTCAAAAAATGTCCTGAGGCATGGATCTTCCTATGTGCGACATAATGTTGAGGCCTGGTTCAACAGTATCTCAGTGGCACCTGGTGAACAGAACTACAGAACAATTTCCCCAGCAAAGATGGGATGCATCGCCAACGTCGCCAACAATTTGTAGAAAGTGCCAACAAGACAAAACAAAACAGATCGGTACAATTATTCTGCATATATGAATTGTACATATATAATCATATATATATACATCGCATGAAAATAAATATAAGATATGTTAAGATCTGACGAACATGGCTATATTGTAGAAACATGTAAACAATCATTTGCACAATGCGTTGTCAAGATCGGTTTCGTTCGTCATCCCGAGGCTCTTATGAGTCGCCAACGTTTCTACGTGGTGATAAGGGGCAAGAGGTGCCAATGCCCACAGACATTCCCGGCGCAGCATGGCTTTTGGGCTTGGTTTTTTCTTGGGTCCCTAAGGCAACAACCATTTGGGGGGTTCCTAGAATCGGGGATCCCGAAAACCATGGGTTTAAATACTAAGATTATTAAAATGGTCTAATTTTGGATGATGTGAGGTGCCCCTATTTTAGGTATCACTTTGTATCCATTCGTGTTTCACAGGGTGGTTCACAGGGTCGACCCTCCATCTTCCAGCACCAAGGAAGTTCGAACCTCCCAGTGATGTCTTGGTGAACATTCATCATCCAAAAGATTCCTTGAAGCAGAGCACCTTGGCAACGCAGTGATCCATAAGAAGGGCCATTGTGTTCTTCAGTCAACAGCCTCGACAGCCTGAGGTTGTTCTTCCATGGCGGGGATTGTTTTTTTTTCCCACAGCTTACAATTCTCATCATCTTCATTGGGAAGAAAAGTCAGGGAAGATGCTGCGAAATTTTCACAAGTAAACGCCATGGGTGAGACTTAGATCGCTGCCCAATGTGGCGACCTGGTCACGATAAAGATAGACCAGTTGGTTTGTTTGAACATAGGATATCCAACAATCCAGTTGTTTCAGAAATATGTAAGTTCATGTAACATCTAATTTTCCCCAGTCAAATTGCCATGGCTTGAGGGTACAGTCCGTTTTGAGACACACCCAAATGCAGTTTCTTGTCCCAAATTCTGCAGAAAGTTTATCGATGTTACGATGTTTATTGTCTGGAACATCTTGGAACCATCTTTGGATTTTCATCACATCCAAATTGGAACCTTCATTGGAAAGCTGTGAAACATGTGGAACCCCTCGAGTTTTTTGCACACCCGGCATCCATGGAATCCATGGGTGTTGGTTGGCGATCCGCCAGGTTTCCAGTATGATTCACTCTTTAATTCTGCCTATGGCCTCGTGCTTCACGGCTTCCTGGACCAAAGAAAGCGGCGAAAATTGGACGAGAAACGGAGGCATATCTCAGGGAGAAGGTACTGTAATGTAATGTATTGTATACATAGATATAAATATAAATGATATTAATAAATTTATGTTTTATATTTATAAGAATTCTATGATTATACACGGATACAACTACACAATATGTATCTATATGTCTATATGTTTATATGTGCATATATATATATATATATCCATAATATATATATATATACACATATACATTTTATATGTATATATATATGTATATATATATATATGTATGTATATACTGGGATATGCTGGGGATACCATCCAATGTCGGAATGTTGGACTTTGACCACAAATTTTCATCACGATCATCCCCGTGAGCAAGGACATGGTCGCTGGAGCTATCGATTTACGGAGACTTTAAATGGAGGAGCCATCCCAGTTGCTCAGCGATGCTCAGGGGCTCCGTTGTTTGGACCGAGACATTTCTCAGCCCAAATTTATTGGTTGATTGTGATGCTTACTGTCATGGTTGGCCAATAACGGTAGTCAAACGAGTCAAAACATATTAGGAGGTCTATTATTGGGTTTACCACAGTATTTCAGATCTCTATAGATTTCTGATTTGTATTGATTTGTTGTAATATGTTACAATTGATCCAGCCTTCTGGGCCCCTTGGTGGACACCATTTTCTGCTCGTCAGCATCCAGTATCATCCAGTCATGAACAGTGGAGCCCGGGGAACGATGGTTAAATCTCCATCCGCTAACTCCTCGGAAAATCATGGTTATCTACATATCATACGGGGGTTTCCATAAATTGGTATATCCCAAAATGGGTGGTTGATAATCAATGGAAAATCCATGAAAATCTGATTGAAATGGATGATTTAGGGGTACCCCCATTTTAGGAAATCTCCATAATATATCTATATAACGTCCCGAGCCACCTGATACCCCAATAATACCTACATTGTCTCTCTCGTGGGGCTCTCCAGTGCCAGACGAAGAGATCCACTGCTATTTAGGGGCTCCCAAAAATAGGTGAATTGAATTGAATTGGTTTATCATGGTTTATCAATCTTTATTAAAACTAACAAGACTAACAGGTTGACATGGATTCATCGTGAACTGTGGGGGTATTTTCCTGGGGTATGGTGGGCTATTTGGAACTGCACATTCCAACGACCTCGAGGTGCTCTTGGCTGAAGGTTGGAGACTCCCCTTGGACGAGTTGGTCGCCTCTTGGGAAACAATTGGGCCGCTTTGGACAAGGTTTGGGCCGAAAATGCTCTCAAAGACACATCATTATATGATATTATATGATGTATATATATATATGATATATATATATGGGTATTATGATGTATCATGATAATATTCTGATAATATATATATATATATAATATTGTATATAATATATACATTTTATGTATGTACATATACATGCGGTTTTGGTGATACTCTATTAGTCTATAAAGTTTGAGATTTGATGCCCAAAACGTCGCTGGGATACTTCATGAGATATGGCCGCCAGTCATCGGAAAAATAGGAAGCAGCAATCATTGCGGATTTCATCGGTTTTCGTCGGTTTCCTCTGCCGCAGATGGCCCTTATGGTGATGCCATGAAACATGTTTGTTTTGAAGAACCAAGAACAAACTGGCAGTGGACATTTCCTCACTCGAAGATGTTTTCCCCAGTGATTACAAAGACTTGAACATTTTCTATTGCCATACCCTTCGGGATTTGTTCACAGTTTGCTATACTTTAGATGGTCCATTTGTAGATGATTTACATATTCGAACTGGTGGTTTTCCATAGCAAACTGTTGAATTCCCGGGGCTTCACCCAGGATCCAACGGCAACCGCAAGCGTTGACCCAGTCAGGATTGGGAGCAAGTCACGGTCCAACGACCAGAAGCGATGAGTCGAGATGTGCCAGCTTTGATAGAGATTCGGCCGAAGATCCCGCGTTTTTTTGATAAGCAAAGTCTATGATGAATCTTCTGATTATATAGGTTTTATTCTTATTATCATTATCATTATTTTGTTGTCATCATTATTAGAGAAGGATAATATTGTGTTTGATTATTTTTATTTGTTTATTTTTGGGGTTCTTGTTGTTTATTCATATACCATTCACAAAAAGTGGATAGAGAGCCAAGCCACTGGGGACGCTAAGTTCGAAAAAAACAAGCCAGAACATGAACAAGTGGGTCGGAAAATAAACATGTTTGGTATACTTATACGTTTGTACCTGTAGAGTTGTACTATATATTTTTAAACATGATAACTGACTGTAACGTTGTTTTTGGAGATAGTATAGTCATGTTTGTCTTCCACGATAGGTTTGGGACAGCTACACCTCAAGATCTGTTTTTCTTTAGCAGCATTTTGAGTCGGAATCACCTTCCAACTTGAAGACGTCCGTGATTAAACTTGGTTTCAACTGATCCAAATTTGGCTGACTGGAGCGTCGTACCCAACTCTCTTCCACATGGCAAAGCTGCTTGTTACAGTAGCAGGAATACACCACATGGACAAAAACAATCAAAAACATAGGGACTACTTGGAGGATCATCCCATTTATAAGCGGGTTATAACTATGGTGACTAATCAGTTACTAAGTAGGATGATCCTCCAAGTACAAGCCAAGTCTTTATGCAAGTTCCATGGTTCCATGGCTCCGGGAGTTTTCAGCTACAACATGGTGTTGTGAGCTAATCCCAGATACAAGATTCAGTTATTGTTATCATTGTTCAGTCAGCATTATTACTCTAGGCTGAGTATGCACAAGATATCATTATCCAGAATTATCCATTGTATATCCATAGGCCCTTTTCTCAGGCAGAAGGGCATGTCCAGTAGATGTCAGTTGTTGACACACCACCACCCCATGATCCGCTTCACAGTGGACCGTTTTTTGATTGGAGCCGTCACATGCAAGTGTGTATACAACATTGTCCATCTACTGAACCCTATCTTATCCAGGATACTGTATCCCAGTTGTTACATCCCTCATATAACATTCATATTGGAATTCCTCTAAAGCGCTGTGCGGCTGAGGAGAGTCTGACGCTCGTTTGCAAACGAACCAACGAAGCGACGTCTGGTTGCGAAGCAAAACAAACATGGAACATCATGGAACCCTGTTTGGAATGTGTGAAAATGATAGTTCTACTGAAAGATCAAAACGGGCAACTTCAACATCAATGATGTGAGTTTTGTGTGAATTTCATTGTGTACGATTTTGTACATTACTTTATCAAGCGATCAAACTGCTACACTGCCACACCAGCGCTCCATTTCCAAAGCGCACTCACTCCGCTTGGTTTCCTGTATATTATAAATATATCTACATATATAATTACACAAGACTGATCAATACTGCATTTAATGTTCCTTTCATTGAGTTGGAACATGATCCCAGGCGACTGCATGTTTCTACATGGGTGTCCAACAAGTAGGTGTACCCCAAAGTTGCAATATCTTATTGAGAAGTTGAGATTCTAAAAACATTGGAGGAGGTATCCTTTCAGAGAAAGCCAACCATTTCCGAAGGTCCAACCCACCCTGCGGGCCACCTGGAACTGATCCAGGAGTCGGAATGAAAGCATCATCAATGCCACACACCACCGCGGCTCGGCGGTGGCGTCCCTCTGGAAATCAAGCATGGCTGGAAAATGCTAGAAAAATCAGCCATTTATAGATTGTTTTTCCATTATGGAGTACCCCCATTGTAAACCAACCATTATAAACCAACCATTATGGAGTACCCCGATGTTTTTCCATTTATAGCCGTTATAAACCAACCATAAATGGGGGTACCCCCATAAATTGGACACCTCCATATAGTTGGATGATACTTGGATGATGTTCCCATGGAATTTCCGATGGATGATTGGTCTGCTCGCCATGTTTGATTAGCTGAGGATAAAAGGTGGTTGTGTCTCGGGGATGCTAAAGATATCCAGAACATTCCAGAACATTTTATGGACATTCACAGATTGGCAAGATCGAATCCAGCGGAAATTGTCTGACGATCCCGACTTCCCTCAGGAATCAGAGCAGTCTATCAGAAGTTGATGCTCAGCAGATCGTTGATGGACCACGTTTCAGGTTCTCCACTTTGGGTATCTGTGGTTACTAATCATTATTAATCCCTACATAGAATATCACAAACTTACTAAATACGCCCCAATCGAAACCCCGGATCTAGTATTGGAATTGATTGGAATGTATTGGATGTATTCATTCTGGTGGCCATATGCGGGGTATTTAATATTATGGGATGAATATCCCAAACCCTGGCGAAGCAACCCATCCACCAGCCAACCTGGAACGATGTAGATGGGCATAGAGACTAAATCTTGGGGATGGACGGAATTCGGACATTAGTATTGATATCCATTTGAGCCATTTATTACAACTACACACAATTTTTATGAAGTATAGTAAAGTATAATAATGTATTATATATATAGTTATATATATATATTCACATATATATATATATATACATATACACACATTCATTCGTATATATATATATTCATATATATATATATTCATATATATATATTCATGTATATTAATATACATATTCATATATATATATATATACTGTACATATATATATATGTATATATATATATATATATACATATTCATATATATATATATACATATGTATTCATCTATATGAGGCCACTCGAAGGATGAGTTCTTTTGTAAATTGTGTACGCCTCCACAAGTGGGGCAAGTAGGAGTACCCATGGGGATCGGGGAGTCCCATGCACCAAAATTCTCGTGGATTCTAACAGTAGGATGGTAGGACTTGCGTTTGTGAAAGCAGACCCTGATATGGTGTTGAGATGTGAGAAGCTTCCCAGATTTCTCACCATTCTCCTGTGGCTAAATCCCCATGAAATCCAATTTTTCCTGGTTAAATCACAAATTTCTTGGCCTAGTGCAGGAACCCATTTGGTTTGGCTGGCAGAATCCATGATTTCCTGGGTAAATCTTGTCCAGATGTAGCCTCTTCAAAGTCCCCCAGCTCTTCATCTGAAACCCTTGGGAATCGATGGGAATCGCACGTCGCATTGAGGATGGTCACCCAAGAGATTCGACTGCTTTCCTTACTACGATCGGCAGCACTTTGGAAGCGCAACTGGCGTGAACGCGAGAAGCAAACGCTGCGGATGCTGGTAGATAGGAGACCAAAAGTGCCGTCACCCTGGGGCTGAAGGGAAGGAGTTTTGGGTCAGCATCAAACTTATCAGACTTGGAAAATGGATGAAAATGGTTTTTTCATGTTTTTTCTCACTAACCCAGCTGTAAATAAGATGATTCTAGAGATGATGTGTCTGTTGAATCTTGGCGATTTCGGGTTCGATCTCACATTTCGAAGCTGTAAACATCCTAAGTTTATCCAATTTTGGAATAGTTGATATAGTTGGGAGATTTTCAACCGCACTTGAATGAATCCATACTTGAAGGTTATCCATGATCCATCAACAGGTGGGACGTGGCGTTCCGTCATGCGACGTGGATCACTCCTGGTTGTGCTAAGGAAGAGTTTGCCATGACGTTCTACGACATCGACGAGGGCTTTGCCCACGCTGGTATCGAAGAGGCATGGCTGGGGGAAGATGAGCGAAAACCTGAATTTTGAATCGCTATGCCACCTGTGTTTTTTTTCCAAAGTTTTAGACTAAAGCGAGAGTCTTGATCTATGCAATGCTTACTTCGTTTGGCTTCCTCCATTGGGCCCAAATCAACCCCCAATACTCTGTCAATATCCGGAAATAGTCCATGAAAACAGTATGAACAATCCATATTGTTTCATACAAATATATGTAGTATGATTATATATATATATATGTAGTGTTTAACAAATGTAGTGTATTATATATATACATGGCATATATGTATAATGTGTTATATACAGATGTATGCGCGTGTTGTGGCATTGATTCCTGATCCGTCGCTCCCAGGTGACCATCCAGGGCGACTGGACGGTAGCGATTGTGTCGTCGCTTGGAGAAATGGTAAATGATAGGCTAATGATAGGTAATAGTGGTTGGTAAATGATCAAATTTGAAATGATCGTTTTGAAACTTGGTTGGTAAAATGATAGGCTAATGATAGGTGATAGTGTGGATGGTTTCGAAATCCTACACAAGTTGTAACTGTTGGTAATTACAAGGGCATGTTTCCCATCTACCAACTGGTGCAGGATTTCTTAACCATCCACAGTAGCTAGGGTTTAGATGGCCCATGGAAATAGATGATAAACATATTGATTTACATTATGTGATATTGATTTAATGATGTATTACCGCTCTTGAACATGGTGATTGTTCATAGCAAACTGTCGCAAATTATCAGAGGGTGGATCATCAAATTATGAAACGTGACCGCCTTTTATGACAATGTTGAATTCCCAGAAGGTATGTAAAGATATGATGCTTAACATTGTTTAGCTGTTCCCAATGTTGGAATATGGAAATAATCACCAAACACAAGACCTTTTATTTTAAAGGACAGTCATCACGATGTTGTTACTGTATCTCTCTTGAGCACACACATCCAACACGGACTGCAGTTGTTTAATGGGACCATAATCAACATGCCAAATGCTTATACTATACAATGGACATCAGTGGACAAGTGATTGGCTGTTGATGATGTTATTGCGATATATTGCGTATATATTATTTAAAATTATATATATATATAATATATGCTGTATACATGTGATTCCCAACCGGCTCATGTTTTTTTCAAATTGGTAGAATGATGTAGAATGTAGAAAGCACCAACCAAGCAAGATTGGCTACATGTCTGGTCTTCCAGCCAATCACTTTAGTCTGCTGGGGATGCATTGACGGGAAATTGATGTGTTCAGTTGGCATGTTTGAGGATCATCGCGAAGAGATGCGATCAATCTTCAACTCCCCAAAAGCAATAACTTAGACGTTGAAGTTGATTATAAATTGATTAAAGCCACAGCGTTTAAACTAAACCACTACCGAAATTCACCATTTAAACTTAGAATAGAACTGTTTGTTTCTTCCGTGAACTTTTTAAGCGTTGAACTTTATGGGTTGATTCCACCAGGAAGCAGACGAGCATCGACGTGGTACATTCACCAGATTTTCAAAAGATCAAGTGCCCCGGTGGCTGCGAGTTGTGCCGGTTGATCTGATTGAATCACCAGGTAAACCTTGGTTGAATGGACTGATATGCAGTAATGGATTCTTTGTCGAAAGTATTTTCAAGTATCGATCAGTTCGTTAAGAGGTGTTTAAAATGCGTTCTTAACATGTTCGAGCTATAAACAGGGTGCTTACAATGCCCCACAAGTCGAGAAAGAGCTGCCAAAGTTACACCTTATCCAGCCATGGTCACTCCAATGACCCATTCATAGTTCCTGATACTTCGAAGCCGCAAAAATATATCTACAGTATACTATTATTCTGCATCATTTTCTTAACTATATCATATAGTTCTGCATAAAGATATTGACATTGATATAGGCTTCAGTAAACTATCATCATTATGGATCATCATTTGGTATTATAGGTTTATTGATTGACTATGTATGTTTATGTGTACATTCATTATAAATAGTTATAAATATTACAAATGATAATGATGTAATCATCATTCAGTCATAATAACACATGCTTATATTATGTTGATGGCTTACCCGTGATTTTTGTAGTGTTTTTCTTTGTTCCGGTGGCACACTGAGGTTCCGCTCCACCATGCCGTCCATGGCGCCTTGAGTCTATAATTGGGATAGTTGGATATATTTGGGGGGTTATAACCTATATAGTTTGACAAAGCAGTGAAGCTAATCCGGCCCATCTAAGTCATCCAAGTGCAGGGTGCTTTTTGAGTGAAACGCGGGCAGAAGACTAATGGGTTACGATGTGAAGCATGGAGTCCCAGTGAGCATAGTACAGTCCCAGTGGATGCGTGTCCTCCCTTTTATGGGTACTTCGTCCTCCATTGGTACCGGGGTATACCCCAGAATCGCCATGTCAATGGGGAAAGTGGGAGTTCCAAACCGTTGGATTTGTATATTAATTGTTGGACAAAGCCTTCACAACCTTTGTAACCTCTAATTTGTAGCCCAAAAAACCAAAAACAGTTGTTATTTTCCTTCCTCTTTGGGATGAACATTGGAATTGACTCATTCCCACAGCAAAAATTGATGCAAGGTACCATCCTGTCAGGGATAGGTTGAAAAAACCAAGCAGTTGAACTAGATTCTTACCCCGGTAGCAAGGCCATGGACAGTCCCACGCATCCGTTGACCTTGACCTACCAGCAGTTCCAAAAGGCGCGGTGGGAAGATGGGCACTTCTCAAGAAATGGTCGGTTGATGTCGGTTGATTATTTTTGGAATCTACTGGACATGTTCTGGGGAGTTTTCTGTGGGATATTATATATACATATATGGACATAGGACCAATAAAATTCAATAAGATGCTGGTTTAATTTTGATTAATTGCATATGTGAGAATATCGTGGGGATGTAATTGGATATCATGGTATTACGAAATATAGAATCAACCGGCATGGATATATATATATATATTTACAGTACACACATCTAATTATAGCGGAGAAATAATGGGACAAATCCAAATAAGCAACAACATGATATTTGGATGTGCCTGAACATAGAGCAAAATGGCAATTGGGAAGATGATGATCTGCCATCAATGGTCGGCGTTCCTCTAAGTTTTGAGACAGAGCCATCTATTGTACACTGTATTTCCCTTCTTGACTGGATGGAAACAATCAGTATTTTTGGGCTGCTGAATGTATGGTCAGACTTCTTTTATTACTCCGACTGCTGGCCCATCACCAGTCACAAGCATGACAAGGGCAAGCATAGGACTATCACTATTAATCACTATGCCAAGCGCTTTTGATCACTATTACTACCAGTAGTACCGCACAAGGCGGTGGCGGAAGTTTCAAAAATAGGAAACCTATAGGAGAGGTTGGTTGTTGTGAATCACGGATGGCAGAGCGAATCCACTGATGGAGCGACAGGTGGTTGGAGTTGTGTTTTTTGGAATGGTTGCAATGGTTGCAGCGGTCACCTTACCACAACTGCTGGATGTAGTGTGGTGTAGTGCAGGTGTAGTTGTAGTGTAGTGGAGTTGTAGTTGTAAGTTGTAGTTGTAATCTAGTGTAATTAGTGTATTTGCAAGTGCGGTTGCATTTGTAGTCGTGGTGTGGTGCAATGAGTGTAGTGTAGTGCAGCATCATGTCGTGTAGTGTTGTGTAGTGTAGCGTGGTTCAGTGTAGTGTGGTGTAGTGTAGTGTAGTGGTAGTTGTAGTTGTAGTTGTAGTTGTAGTTGCAGTTGCAGCTGCAGTTGTAGTTGTAGTTGTCGTGTAATGCAATGTAATCAGTGTAGTGTAGTGTTGTGTAATGTCGTGTGGTTGTAGTTGTAGTTGCATTTGTAGTTGTAGCGTGCTGCAGTGTAATTAGTGTAGTGTTGTGTAGTGTTGTGTAGTTGAAATTGTAGTTGTAGTTGTGGTGGTGGTAGTAGTAGTAGTAGTAGTAGTAGTTGTTGTTGTTGTTAATGTATTTGGTGTAGTGTAGTGTAACTAGATGTAATGAGTGTAGTGTAGTGTAATTAGTGTAGCGCAATGTAGCGTAATATATTTGTCGAAGGACGTTTAGAAGTCAAACTTCCGACAATATGGACAGATGAAAAGCAGAGATGCGCAGAGTCAGAGAAGAGAAGGGAAGAGAAGAAGAAAGAAGATCAAAAAGAGAAAGTCTCCGAAGAAAGAAGATCCAGGTGCGCGAAAAGTTACGAAAGAGGCGAAACACTGTGTTTTTCCATTGATTTGTGGCTCCGGAGGGTCGAAAAGTAGGCTGCAGGCTCGCTAAAGCGGCGGGTGCGGAGCCAGCTGGCCAGATGAGAGATGAAAAGTTGCACGCCATTGTGGCGCGAAGCACATATCCAAGTCAAAATGTACAAAACATCTCAGCTTCAGAGCACCTTTAGAAGTTGCGATGTCGAAAAAGTGCACGCCGTTGTGGCGCGAAGCACATTTCGAACTCAAATTGTACAAAACACCTCAGCTTCGGATCACTTTCCCAAGTTGCGATGTCGAAAAAGTGCACGCCGTTGTGGCGCGAAGCACATTTCGAAGTCAAATTGTACAAAACACCTCAGCTTCGGATCACTTTCCCAAGTTGCGATGTCGAAAAAGTGCACGCCGTTGTGGCGCGAAGCACATTTCCAAGTCAAATGTACAAAGCACACCAACTTCGGACCACTTTTGGAAGTTGCGATGTCGGAAAAGTGCAGGCCGTTTTGGCGCGAAGCACATTTCCAAGTCAAATGTACAAAACACACCAGCTTCGGACCACTTTTGGAAGTTGCGATGTTGAAAAAGTGCACGCTGTTTTGGCGCGAAGCACATGTCGAAGTCAAAATGTACAAAACACCAGGGGTTCGGACCACTTTTGGACGTTCAGATGTGCTTTCGCGTGGCAGGCGCAAGGGATTGTGAACCTTGTGAAAAGTGAGCAACACGTGAGGGTTTTGTAGCATTTCCAAAAACGATGGCAGGCGTGGGGCATTTGAAGAGGATCTGCAAAGATGCATTTGCCGTGGCAGGCGCAGTACCAGAGACATGTTTATCAGAGATGTTAGGAGGTCCGGGGTTGCATTTTGGAGCATCAGATCTTCAGGTTTGCTGAGATGATTTTGCGTGACAGGTGCAGCACTTCGTATGACCTGGCATCACTTTTTCGTGGCAGACGCAGCACTTTACAGAGATGGAGTGGAAAAACCGCAAAACACATTGGTACGAGCCCGTCAGCTCTGCACTCAACTTTCCATTTTTGAAGGAAGTCTCGCAGAATTGTCTCGTTTTTGATGTTGTCAACTTCGAAAAATGAGGACGTCTCGCAGGATTTTTATTCCCGAGAGCGCCTGCGAAGGGTTCTTCGTAAAAAAGCAGCCGTTATACTACATCTTCACACCTTCACATCTGCTGATCTACATCTTCACACCTTCACATCTGCTGATCTAGATCTTCACACCTTCACACCTGCAGATCTACATCTTCACACCCTCACATCTGCAGATCTAGATCTTCACACCTTCACATCTGCAGATTTAGATCTTCACACCTTGACACCTGCAGATCTAGATCTTCACACCCTCACATCTGCAGATCTACATCTTCACACCTTCACACCTGCAGATCTAGATCTTCACACCCTCACATCTGCAGATCTAGATCTTCACACCCTCACACCTGCAGATCTAGATCTTCACACCCTCACATCTGCAGATCTACATCTTCACACCCTCACATCTGCCGATCTAGATCTTCACACCCTCACATCTGCCGATCTAGATCTTCACACCTTCACATCTGCAGATCTAGATCTTCACACCCTCACATCTGCAGATCTAGATCTTCATACCCTCACACCTGCAGATCTAGATCTTCACACCCTCACACCTGCAGATCTAGATCTTCACACCCTCACATCTGCAGATCTAGATCTTCACACCCTCACACCTGCAGATCTAGATCTTCACACCTTCACATCTGCAGATCTCCTCTCGCTCTTCTTCTATTCTCTCTTAAGCGTCAAAAACTGAGGAAAAATTGCGACTTTGAAGCGTCCCGCGCAACCCTTTCGCACGAAATGGACGTTGGACGTCAAAAACTGAGGAAAAATTGCAACTTTTATTGGTCGCGCGCAACCCTTTCGCACGAAATGGACGTTAGACGTCAAAAACTGAGGAAAAATTGCAACTTTTATTGGTCGCGCGCAACCCTTTCGCACGAAATGGACGTTGGACGTCAAAAACTGAGGAAAAATTGCGACTTTGAGGTGTCAATCGCAACCCTTACGCACGAAATGGACGTTGGACGTCAAAAACTGAGGAAAAATTGCGACTTTGAGTCGTCAATCGCAACCCTTTCGCACGAAATGGACGTTGGACGTCAAAAACTGAGGAAAAATTGCGATTTTACTTGGTCAATCGTAACCCTTTCGCACGAAATGGACGTTGGACGTCAAAAACTGAGCAAAAAATGCAATTTTAAAGTGTCAATCGCAACGCTTTCGTCTGTGTAAAAGTGTCTGTGTGTAAAAGCCTCTGTGTGTAAAAGCCTCTGTGTGTAAAAGCGTCTGTGTGTAAAAGC